ACAATAATTAATGTTGGTCACATCAATATCGTATTACATTTGAATAATTGATAGCCCAAATCTCCCACTCTTATAAGAGGTTCCACATGCATAGATTTTGCATAGTTGCAGCATAACAGCCTTTTCTTTGTCTAGATTCTTGAATGTGATTTTTTTTTCCATCTCTAAACTCAGTTTACCTTTTTCCCTTCATTTGCATGGAATGTTGCAGTTACGCACTTACTTTCTTGTAACATGTGTACTGTGTACATCCATACATGTTTTTACATTATTATGATTTTTCATATTTTCATAGAAATTCAATCATTTTTTATATTATTTCATATAAACTGCTCACTATCTTACCAGGATGAACTTCTGGGGATACTCCACGATAAACTTTTTTTCACCAATGATAAGATATTCATCAGGTGGGATAAGAAACTGTGGCCGTGATGCCATAAATGAATTCAAAACTTTTGTTAGAGAGGCTCACAAACGGGGAATTGAGGTAACCAAGTTGATATAGCTAATTCTTGTTTAGTAATTGCTGCTTTCTCAACATATTTTTTTACGTGGGGATACTCTATTAGGTGATCATGGATGTTGTCTTCAATCATACAGCCGAGGGTAATGAGAAAGGACCAATATTATCATTTAGGGGGATAGATAATAGCACATACTATATGCTTGCCCCTAAGGTGCGTTATATTGCTCATTGTGGAAACATTTCTTTTTTTTTCTTCAGAGATGTATATAATGCAGTTTTATTATGTAATTCTATCTAAGAATTTGAAGGGTGTTTGTGCCTACAGGGAGAGTTTTACAATTATTCTGGTTGTGGGAATACCTTCAACTGTAATCATCCTGTGGTCCGTGAATTTATTGTAGATTGTTTAAGGTACAGTTATAAATATATATATATACTGCACAGTAAAACAGTTATTGATCTCTTCTCACTGCTTATCATTTTGTCAAGAACTTCAATTGCAAGCCTGTAAGGGTTTTATTCTTTTAATCTCCAGCAAATTGCTTTTTTCTGTTTTCAAAACACATACTGATGATGTTTCAGTGCTTGAGTATATGTACACTTGGATATTCTTCTATATTCTAATAAAGCAGGGAAACTATATCCCATCATCTTATCATTTTTTTATGCTCATTAATAATAAATAAATCAAAGAACTGCCATGTTTGTTGTAATATGCTTGAATCTCCTGTTAGGCCATTTTTCATGATATCTTTGGTGTGCTTATTTTTGTTTGCTTTATTCTAAACAAAATAGCTTTGACATTGCAGATACTGGGTGACAGAAATGCATGTTGATGGTTTTCGTTTTGATCTTGCATCCATAATGACCAGAGGATGCAGGTAAACGGCAGTTCATTTATTTTATTTTATTTTGGCCGTGTTTTGTCTTTCCAGAAGAGTCTTATTTTTTTCCTGTTACTTTTACAAGTCTTTGGGATCCAGTTAATGTGTATGGAAGTCCAGTAGAAGGTGACATGACTACGACAGGGACACCTCTTGCTACTCCACCACTTATTGACATGATCAGCAATGATCCAATTCTTGGAGATGTCAAGGTTACTACTTTTTCTGACTTTTGTTGCGCATCTACAATTTCTAGTACATTCATACCAGTAATGTTACCATTCATATTTTTGGCAATGAATTTATTTTTCTACACAAGTAATTCTTTTGTTCTGATATAAAGAAAATATCTACACCAAATATCATAATAGTATGTACTACCTCTGTTTCATATTATAAGTCGTTTTGACTTTTTTATATGTCAAATTTCTTTAGGTTTGATCAAATTTATAGACAAAAAAGTCAAAAGGGACTTATAATATCAAATGGAGGGAGTATGATATAATTAGCACGTTGTTGTATCCTTGTGAAATCCTCTTATTCGTATATCCGGTTGCATTTATAGCTCATTGCTGAAGCATGGGATGCGGGAGGCCTCTATCAAGTAGGTCAATTTCCTCACTGGAAAATTTGGTCAGAATGGAATGGAAAGGTAACAACTGCATATCTTGATCTATTCGATTTTCTAAGGAAACAAATGTTTCCTTGCATACACTAAATAGAGGTTATATATGAGACATGTCTAATTTAACATAACATTATTTTACTAAACTTCAAAGGCAAACACATAAATTATTCTGCCCATAAATGTACACAGAAGATAATACATGAACTGAACGGTGAGCTATTTCTCAGGGCTACTGCTAACAATACATAAATACGCCTTTTGTTCTTTAGCAGGGCATGGGTTATGAAAAAGTAAGAAACAACAGTATACTAAGCTTATATTTGAGCTAGACACTGAACTTTGGAGTTATAACATATGATCTGCATCCATCTAAAGTTAAACCAACATCTAACATAGTTCCCACTTTATATGTGTAATTGTTGTTTTATCATAGCACTGACTTATATTATGTGCTTGTTTCTCCAGTACCGGGACATTGTTCGTCAATTCATTAAAGGCACAGATGGATTTGCTGGTGGTTTCGCTGAATGTTTGTGTGGAAGTCCACATCTATACCAGGTACATAGTGAAATACCTTTAGATGGATCGGGTACAATGCAAATTGGATGGGGTCTTTGGAAATGCCACACGATGAACTGGTGATAATAGTGCATGAAGCTTACAGTTATAATTCTAGATCCACGCATAGCCTTTAACACACGACTTGCGAGTAAAGAAAATGGTCTTGTTTTCTTTTCATTCATTTTTTGGGGTGCTCTTGTGTCTGGTGAGGCTTCTATTTGGCCTAACCTCTGAAAAAATAACCTCCATGCCATTTTTATTTTCTTTTGTCCATTTCTCTTTGTGAAAAGAGGTTATGTTAGATACTGATAGCCAATTGGACTAGTACATTTCTGACACTTAAAAATACACAGAGAAGTACCAATGCAAAGTAGCTTCATTCTAGTCTATGTAATTTGTTTTTTACTTCACATTTCCTTTAGGTTTGCATAAGAATCAAAGCTGTCACTTGTATTTGCCATTACAAATATTCCTTTATTAATCAGGCAGGGGGGAGGAAACCTTGGCACAGTATCAACTTTGTGTGTGCGCATGATGGATTTACGCTGGCTGATTTGGTGACATATAACAAGAAGTACAACTCTTCAAATGGTGAGGATAATAGAGATGGAGAAAATCATAACCTCAGCTGGAACTGTGGGGAGGTAATACTGCACTATAATGTTTATGCATAGTTCTTGTTTTACTTCTATTCAAATGCCCGATAATCTTACAATGGCTTTACTCGATAGCTAAACCATTAGTGTGATGAAGGTTTCCCCTACCAAATATCATGGTCTGTAAACTTCCTGTATTTCTTAAAGATGAAAATGTGTGTTGTATTTTGTAAATGAGATGAGTTATGGGACTTATGGATGAAGGTTACTACTGGTGGTAGGTAAACCATGAGTCCAGTCACTAGGATTTGATGCTGGTGGGAAAACCATGTGAGCTCAGTGACTAGGATTTGCGCTCCGTTTGCCTCACCAGAGGCGCAGACCTGATATACATTAGCAATTTCAAAGTAATTAGTTTTCTTTCAATTTGCAGTTGAGAATCTTATATAGAATGCGCATTTACAATTTCATGTCAACAATGTAGGAAGGAGAATTTGCAGGTTTGTCGGTCAAAAGATTGAGGAAGAGGCAAATGCGCAATTTCTTTGTTTCTCTCATGGTTTCTCAAGTAAGATTTATTATCTGACCTCTTTAATTATCTTAGACCGTTTGCCAAAATGTAGGATGACGTTAAGATGCTAGTTCTGTACTTGCCACTTTCATTAGTCACATCTTCTGCAGTATTTAACATTTTAAACTATTACTTTCTCTTAATTCTTTAGGGTGTTCCGATGTTCTACATGGGCGATGAATATGGCCATACAAAAGGAGGCAACAACAACACATACTGCCATGACCATTATGTCAGTCCAATGTGATGGTGTATTTTTCGAATCAGCTGTCATTAAACCCCTCCCTTAATCCATCTTTGGTTCTTCTATAGGTCAATTATTTCCGCTGGGACAAGAAAGAAGAATCCTCTGACTTGCAACGGTTCTGCTCTCTTATGACCAAATTCCGCAAGTAACTACTCTGGAACACTTCCACATGCTAAACAAGTGAGACCGTCTCCATAGCCTACATCGACCTCATGCTTTGTTTTCTTTTACATTGCAGACAATGCGAGTCCCTTGGCCTCGCAGACTTCCCAACAGCTCAACGGTTGCATTGGCATGGCCATCAGCCTGGGAAACCTGACTGGTCTGAGACAAGCCGTTTCGTGGCCTTCTCCACGGTACCTACATAATGCTCTCACACAACACAGCCATTTCCCCCAAAAAATAAAAGCACCGTCTTTTTCACAACAATCAAGTTGAAGCTAGATGATAATTTCTTTTATCCATGTCTATCACAGAAAGATGAAACGAAAGGCGAGATCTACGTGGCCTTCAACGCCAGCCATTTGCCGGCGGTTGTTGGACTCCCAGAGCGCCCAGGCTACCGCTGGGAGCCGCTGGTGGACACAGGCAAGCCAGCGCCTTATGACTTCCTCACCGACGACCTGCCTGATCGTGCTCACGCCGTCCACCTGTTCTCTCATTTCCTCAACTCCAATCTCTACCCCATGCTCAGCTACTCCTCCATCATCCTTGAATTGCAGCCTGATGATTGAAAGAACAAAGTATAGCATAGTATAGCAGAGTAAAAAACATATGTTTATAGCCCTTTTTGCGTATATGTTGAAGTTGTGCGGTCCTTCAATTTTGATGGATGGTGTAATCTGTATATTCATGCATGTCCTGAGCGGCCAGATAAGCTCCTCCGGGACGAGCTAGCAGAAAAAGCATTCTCTGGCAAGAACGGATTGATGTATATACTAGTGCAGGGTATGCTGACATGTTGAGTGGACGAAAGATGATCCTCATTTCACTCAACAAGAAAGGCGGAACATCAGGGTATGCCTGATGTTTGGAAGAGCAAGGTACAATAAACAGCATATGTTGCTATGCAGAATGCACTTGTGTACATAGTCATTTTGCTTCAATGCGCAGTACAATCAGATTCAGAGCTGTGCGGTTGTTCTATATTCATCGGTGCAGTCTATCCACTCAACTCAAGCATGCTCATCAAAAGGATCAGATCTTCATCCAGATTTTCCAGCTCGATCAGTTTCACTTCTGTTCATGAGTCATTGCTCTCTGGATAAGTGATGCATTTGTAGACCCTGCATCTTGGGCAAAGGATGTACCCTGCCTGCAACAGCAGCACCAGTTCAAAGTGTTGGAACGAAGCAGAAAAAGGTGATGGCAATGTGCAAAATTGAAGAGAGGAGCGAAACTCACGGCTTTGCAGGTCGGGCAGCGGCGGTAGATCCGGCTGCTCTCCGACTTGACGTTGTTCTTCTTCCCCTTGCAGAAGTCGCAGAGCAGCCACCCTGCGCCGTTGCAACCTTCGCACTCTACACCTTCTTCCTTAGGACAAGAAGAATCATCACAGCCAAGGTAGTTCAACAGCATCAGATTCGAATGGTTTTTGCATCGAAACCACACACAGTCAGATTCTCAGCATCAGAAGAGAGGGCGAAGGCTACCAATGGTGTTGATCTAGGGTATGTTTGGATCCTTCGCTCCGCTAGCCTGGCTCAGCAAGGCTAAAACATCTCATTGCCAGCTTGCTAGCCTTGCCGTACCCCTGTGTTTGGTTGGTTTGCTTCCGAGGGCAAGGAATAGTGGCTAGCTGTTTGAATCCTTCAAAAATTATTGCTTTGCCCAAGTTTATTTTGCTTCCTTTTTTTGTCCAAAAATTAAAAGGCACTGGTCATGTTAATAATCTTGCATTGTTTTTTTTCCCATAGCCATTCTTTTGCTAGTAGTTTATTACTACCTTAAAGTTATATGGCTTGTTTGGTTTAGTACCCTACCAATATATTGGTAGTGCCAAACTCTACGCAAGTTTTGGCACTACCAATATTTTGGTAGGGTAGAATTGTAAATGAGTGTCTTTAGATCAATGTCAATTGAGAGCCAAATTTTGAATTGTGGTGAAGAACATTCTAGAATTGTGCCAAATTGAATATAGTCATTACAAAATATTTGGCTTCAAACCAAATCATCACATTTACTATTTAAACTACCAAAAAATTGGTATGGCAACATTTTGATATCAAACCAAAATGGCCCATAATATTTTAGGATTCACAAATGAGAAATCAAGAGAATTCCTTAATCAAGTACCATCATAATAAATGATCTTGGCAACGCAAAGGCTGCATCTAGCACAAAGCAAACGATCTCAAAGACGCTCTTTTCTAACTCTACCAACTTCCTGACAGAGCGATTGAACAAGACAGCACACCATGTATCTCAGAAAGAAGAGGTTAGGAGCTGACGATAAAGAAGAAATCAAATCTAGGAGTCTACGCGGATGAGATCGCCTCCGGATTGAGCTGCTGCTAATGAGTTCGTCTCCTGATCGGGGAGAGAATATCAGCGATTCCGGAGAAGTCCGCGTCGCCCGCAGACAATATTTTCACGCGAGTGAAGTTTGACGTCGAAAGCGAGCCAAATTGGCTCTCCCTAGCCGGCAAGGTTTTTCTCGCCCTGTACAACTAACTCGCCCTTAAAAGCCAAGCTATTTTACTAGTTCCAAACGGATAGCCTTGCCAGGCAAGGCTAGGGTGACCCTTGCCCAGGATCCAAACGTGCCCCTAGTGATCTGAACCGCCTATGGTAGATCGGACGGCGGAGGGAGGTCAAGGTTAGGACAGTTACAAATGGTAAGCGGTTGGACTTCCTAGAGAGAACTACCACAGGGCACCACTGCTGTCTCGCTGACCCGTGGGCCCGTCCTGTCGGTGTGAGGATTGCACGGTTGCACCACACACTGCTCCGGCAAAGCGCCGGCGAGCTCAGGGAGCATGCAAGATAACTAACCTCTGTCTCGGCCTCAGCCTCCGGCGGCGCCGCCGGCTCCACCGCCGCGGCCGCGGCGACCTCCCTTGGAACGGACACGCAGCCGACGACCCCGCCCTTCCTCCTCGTCCGCCGCGACGGCACCGGCAGAGCCGCCGGCGACAAGGTACACCGCCACCGGCCCACCCACCTGTCTAGCCCAGCCGCGCCGCACCACTGCGCCGCCGCCGCCGCCGCCGCCATTGTTCCGCCTCTTTACACCTCGCCTCTCCCTCTCCACCTCTTCTCTCCCTCCTCGTGTGGATAAAGCCGCGGGGAAAACGAACGGCTCCCGCGCCTGACGCCCCGGGCCCACGCGAGTCCACGTCGGATCGTACACGACCACTCACCACCGAGGCTGACACTGGGGCCCACACAGAATCCAACTCGAGACATTTTTAACTCACAAGTCAACGGCTCCAGCGTTGAACACTTGAACCAGATCTCGCCACCGCGTCCATGGCGTCGCATCGCCGCCTCCGCCTCCTTTTGCTCGCGGCGACGCTCGCCGCCGCCGCCGCTGCCGTAGCCGGTGTGGAAGAAGAAGAGGCGTTCTGCGGAGTGGAGTCCATGCCGGACGCGGCCACGCTGAGGCCGGACCGGCTCACGGTGCTCCTGAGCGGCTACTCGGAGCGGCGGCTCCCGCTGCTCCGCGCCATCGCCGGAGCGTACGCCGCCCACCCGCTCGTCCTCGCCGTCGTCGTGCTCTGGTCCAACCCCTCCACACCGGACAGCCTCCTGTCAAGCTTCCCGCCGGCCGTCACCCTCCACCGCACCGCCTCCGCCTCCCTCAACTCCCGCTTCCTCCCGCACCCGTCCATCCGCACCGCCGCCGTGGCCGTCGCCGACGACGACGTGCTCCCGGACGCCGCCGCGCTCTCCTTCGCGTTCGCCGCCTGGCAGCAGCGCGCCCGCCCGGGCACCCTCGTCGGGTTCTTCCCGAGGTCCCACCACCTCGACCTGGCCCGCGGGAGGTGGGCGTACGGCGCGGCGGCGCGGCAGCAGGCGCGCTACTCCATGGTGCTCACCAAGCTCCTCGTCCTCGGCGCGGGCCTCCTCCGCGAGTACTCCTGCTCGCCGGAGCTCGCCGCGGCGCGCGCCGTGGTGGACCGGGAGCGCAACTGCGAGGACATCCTGATGAACTTCGTCGCCGCCGAGGAGTCCGGCGAGGGGCCGGTGCTGGTGGAGGCCGGCAGCATCAGAGACTGGGGCGACCCGAGGAACGACGATGCCGACGCCGGCGCCGGCGCCGGTGGCGAGGAGATGAAGGCCGTCGGCCTGAGCTCGACGGGGGGCGCGGCGCACTGGGAGAAGAGAGGGGATTGCATCACGGAGTTCCACCGGCTGCTGGGAAGGATGCCGCTCCGGTACAGCTACGGGAAGGTGGTGGCGGCGGCCGGCGGCGAGCAGGCGCTGTGCAGCAAACGCGGCCGCCTCGTCCGGTGTGACCAGGAGTAGCTCTGACACGATGAGTCTTCCCTGATTATCACTGTAAATTCTGAAAACTTGCAGATATTGGTAAATTTAATTCAGAGGAAATCCAGGTTTAAAACAGTAGTGGAGTATAAATTGTAGTATGTTCTATAGAAACCAAATTTACAGAGAGCGATTGTAGATATCTGATAATTCAGGCGTAAAATCAATTCAAACCCCAAATCAGCATTGGTAAAATTAATTCAAAGTTTCAAACCCCAAATCATCAAGTTAATCCCAGGCATTGGTAAAATCAATTCAAACTCGAAATCATCAAGTTAATCCCGTAGTCTTTCGTTGAGCATTTCAGAGTTATACAATTACTTAAAAACATTTGGCACATCTCACGGCTGAAAGCTTTGAATTTCCGCCAAAACATTTCAAGATTTAGTAAAACAAAGCTTTAAATTTAAATTTAGCGTATGCTGCTAATTGTGGCGCGCACACGGTATTCTTTAGTAAAAGGCGAAAGAATAGTTCGCTTTGTGCTCACCACGCAGCTGCGTGCCTTCCACCCTCACACCCAACCCCCCTTATATAGCCACCTCCCCCTCCACCACCCGCCTCGCTCGCCGAGGTGGTACTAAACTCAAACCCCCACCTCACACGGCCAAACCGCGCGCGACACCCCTCCTCGGCTTCCGCCATTCGGCCCACCACCAATTCGGCCCATCACCCATCCGGCCCAGAATGGTGGCCTTGTGGGCCGCCCAGGTGACGCGCTGTCGCTGTCTCGAGAAGCGAGGCGCATTCTAGAGGCTTCCGGAGATGGAACCGAAGCTTCTCCGGTCTTCCTCGCCTTCTTCTTCTCCACTCGTCCACTCCTCTCTCGACGAGCCCCGTATAAATCTCCCGCCATTTCGCTTCCCCCCTTCGCTGCGATGCGAGAATTAACCTTCGAGTGCACCGGGATTAAGTGGCGAGATTAGCGACGTGGTGATTGATTAGTGGAGCAGGATATGGTGGTGCTCGTGGAGTCCCCCGGCGGCGGCGTGACGCTGAAGAGGAAGGGCGGGGAGGAGCCTGAGCTGTTCATTTGCCCCGGCGACGTCGACGGCGGGCTCCCGCTCGCTTGCCGCGCGACCAAGATGAGGCGGCTGGTGCGCGATGACGACGCGGCGGCGGCGGACGACGTGGCGATGGGCGAGGCGCCGTCGGCGGCGGAGGTGGCGGCGGTAGGTGAAGGGGCTATGGTGGTGTACGAGCCGGTCGAATCTGTGGGAGGCGTCGGCCTCCTCGGCCAGCTGCGGCGGCGGCTCCGGCCGTGGGCCAGCCTCCGCGCTGGCGCCGAGTGGATCCGGGACATGCTGCGGGAGGCGGACAGCCGGACGGTGCGGCGGCTGTTGTCCGGCGCCGAAGAAGAAGAAGAGGATGGCGCCGGCATGGCCCTTGTCCCGTGGGGCTCCGCGCCGGCAGCGGCGGGGGATTCGATGGCGGAGGATACTGTGGGCGTCTCGTCGTCGTCGGAGGAGGAGGAGGAGGAGGACGGCGAGGGCTCAGCGGAGGCGATGGAGGTCGAGGAAGAGGGCGCGCATCTCGCCGGCGCCGGTGCCGCGGCCGGCTGCGGCGAGGGGTACCTGTTCCGGCGGTGGCCGCAGCACTGCATGCCGCCGCCGCAGCAGCAGCTGCCGGCGATCGGGCAGGCGAGCCCGGTGATGTGGTGGTGAAATTGGGAAATCTTTTCACCCCGTGTACTCTGTTGCTGTACTGTAGAAATCAGTTTTCAACTGAAATAGAGATGAATTTGGATCAGATTCAAGAGAATTGTTTGAATTCAGTACTAGGAAAACGTACGATCCCAACATTCTGCGATCCCGAAGAATCCCTCCGCGTCCGCCGTGGCAGCTCGCCGGAGCTCCGCCGTGGTACGGACGGCCCATTTAAGTTGGGCCGGAACGGGATTGCCCGCAGTGTTGGCCTGTTGGGTTTCGATTGGTCAGGTATTGGGCCGTGCAGTTGGTGGGCCTTTTGCCTTCCCCTCTGTAGCCACCTTCGAGACTCCGACCCCTATGTTCCACAATGTCAATTCCGTGTTTTATATTGTTATATTATATAATTAACTAGCTGGCTGGCCCGCGTAATTGCGCGGCTAGCACCCAAACAAAATCATAATATTTTTTAGTATGATTTTACTTAAAATTTATAAAATAGCTATCTGGCTATCTCATTGTCATGAGACTTTGAAATTCCAAATCTTATCATCCTCGTGTTTATAATTATGTAGTTTTTAAAAGTCACACCAGTTGCTACCCCTTATGTCATCTCCTTCTTTATTTGCTTGCTCGATCTACCACTATTTCTATTCATTCTTCTTGCAACCTTTAAAAATTGGATTTTATAGCTTTTAGAGTCGTTGGATTTCATTTTTATAATTTCTAGATGTCCTGTCAAACGTTGCCATTATACTCCTCTACGGCCCGTCCACTATCTCTTCTCTTTGTTGTCATTGAGATTTTAAAAATCGAACATAATTATCGTTTGGGTTCATTTTTTTACTTTCTAGAAGTCTCGCCAAACCGTCAGCAGCTTTACCATCGTACTCCTCTGCGGCTCGCCCGCTGCCTCCCTTTTTTATTGTCATTGAGATTTTAAAATTGAACATGATTATCATTGTTTTTTTTTACTTTTTAGAAGTTTTAAACCTTTAAAAATTGGACTTGTAGTTTTATTTTTTATAATTTTTAGATGTCCCATCAAACGATGCCACTATGCCCCTCTATAGCCCGTCCGCCGCCAACTATTTATTGTCATTGTGATTCTAAAGATTGAATATAACTATCGTTGGAATTCATTTTTTATTTTCTAGAAGTCCCGTCAACCGTCGGTGGCTCTGTAACTATACTCTTATACATCCCGCCCGCTGCTTCTCCTTTTTATTGTCATTGAGATTTTAAAAAATGAATATGATTATCAATGGGTTTTTTTTTACTTTCTAGAAGTCCCGGCACCGCCTTACTCGTTTGCTTTACGGCCTGCCTGATGTCCCTCCTTTTAATCGTCATTAGGATTTTATTTAGTGTTTTATTAACAATTTCTATATATCGTATCAACCGCCACCACTCTACTCCTTTATAGGCATGTTACTTAATTTATCTCGTCATGTGTTTTAGATGGTCTTTTCTTTCAATAATCTTTATTTTTATCACAAATTTTAGTTATTTATAAATTGTATGCCTAATTGAAATCTTATTTTTCTTTTTCTAATTTCAGATTTTTTTAAAAAAAAATTAGTTAATATCGTATTGTGTTATTTTAATGTTTTAATGTTTTATTTTCAATTTCAGTTGTTTCAAAATTGTACTCCTACTTGAACTCTCTTTTAATTTTTCTAATTTTAGATATTATTTTATTTTTATTCTAAATTTTAATTAATCTCGTATTGGGTTCTTATATAGATTCTTCTTTTAATATTGCTTATTTTTAATTCCGAATTTCAGCTAATTTTAAATTGTATTCCTACTTAAACTCTTCTTTTATTTTCTTTTGCTAATTTCGGATTTATTTATTTTTATTCCTAATTTAATTAATCTCGTATAGGGTTCTTATATGGACTCTTCTTTTAATATTCCTTATTTTTAATTCCGAATTTCAGCTATTTTTAAATTGTATTTCTACTTGACTCTCCTTTCCTTTTCTAATTTTGGATTTTATTTCCTTTTCTAATTGTATTCCTACTTGAACTCTCTTTTAATTTTTCTAATTTTAGATATTATTTTATTTTTATTCGAAATTTTAATTAATCTCGTATTGGGTTCTTATATGGATTCTTCTTTTAATATTGCTTATTTTTAATTCCGAATTTTAGCTAATTTTAAATTGTATTCCTACTTGAACTCGTCTTTTATTTTCTTTTGCTAATTTCAGATTTATTTTTATTTTTATTCTGAATTTTAATTAATCTCGTATTGGGTTCTTATATGGACTCTTCTTTTAATATTTCTTATTTTTAACTCCGAATTTCAGCTATTTTTAAATTGTATACTACTTAGACTCTTCTTTCCTTTTCTAATTTTAGATTTTATTTTATTTTTATTTCGAATTTTGATTAATCTCGTATTGGGTTCTTATATGAAAACTTCTTTCAACATTGCTTATTTTTAATTCTGAATTTCAGCTATTTTTAATTGTATTTATACTTGGACTCTCCTTTCCTTTTCTAATTTTGGATTTTATTTTATTTTTATTTTGAATCTTGATTAATCTCGTATTGGGTTCCTATATGAAAACTTGTTTCAATATTGCTTATTTTTAATTCCTAATTTTAACTATTTTTAGATTGTACTTCTACTTGGACTCTTCTTTTTTTTTCTTTTTCACTGATTAATGTGGAAATTTCTAACTTCCACAGCGAACGTGGTGCCTTCTTTCAAAGCTGTTTTAATAATATAATAGATAGAGAGAGTAAAGATGTCCTTTGTTCTAATATATCTTTTGTAATGGTAGCTGATGTCTAATTGCGTGTTCTATGTTACTATATTTTAAAACAAAAAGACGAAAAGCGTAAACTATTGAAAAGTTTAAAGGCATGTTCGCTTTGTTGCCATTTTCAACCTTACCAAATTTTGACATTGTCTTGCCAAAATTTTAGCAGGATTTGTTATGTAGTTACCAAAAATTTGCAGCAAACTACTTTTTGGCAACATTACTAAAATTTAGTAAGGTTAAAAATGGCATCAAAGTGAACAGGCCCTAAAATACTCATGAACATATTTAGTATAAACAACAAAACCCTAATATAGTAACGTGCAATTCTTTTGCCAAACAGTAAAAACAAAAAAAAAGGCAACATGAGCTGTAAGGATGAACTAATTAAAATTATTGTATGATATTTTTGTAAAAAACAAACATTTAATTATGTTTGCCCACTACCATTCGCAATGTCAATGGGCAATAATTCTTGTCCTCAGATCGGTCGCACTGGTCTTAACAAATGCATTTATCTGCAAAAAAAAAAAACTTGGACAATGCAAAGCTTCATTCATAATGATATCATGACTGAGTAGAAATTGTACTGCAGTACAACAACTAATGAAAGCATACGCATTATCTCATCTATCAAGCGTGAGTGATGTCCAATCGCATAAACCGCGGAGCCGACAAGGTGCTCGTTTTGGCATCACATCAGGTTTTGCTGATCAAAGTGCCCGGAGATTCAATTCCAGCGACGAAAATCTTCTAGGGTTCATCAGGATAGCCGGCCGCTTTATTTGACAGATTCCTGATGATTTGTCGTCAGAGTGGATAACATCTCAGTCATATCTCTATTAATTAATTATACTCCTAATTCTTCATTCCAACAGTTAATATCACTGTATATGCAAGAGAACATTCTTCGGTTAACATCCTGTGGGAGGCACAAATTTTGACAATTTGACCCTCTGCAAAAACTATTTTTACAAATGAACCGCTGCCAAAACTTATTTCAAATCTGACCCTTTTGCTCAACGCCAAATCATGTGGCGTTGAACTTAGACACCTCAGCGCCACGTCAGCTGGCGCTGAATGCCGTGCCATGCGGATGGGAGACTAAGTCAGCGTGCCAACGTACATTCAGCGCCATGCTATTTGGCGCTGAGGTGTCTAAATTCAGCGCCACACGATTTGGCGTTGAGTAAAAGGGTCAGATTTGAAATAAGTTTTGGCGGCGGTTTATTTGTAAAAATAGTTTTTTGCAAAGGGTCAAATTGTCAAAATTTGTGGGAAAAGAGACTCTGAACTCTAAATTCTGAATTCTAAGCTGTACACGGTGCATGGATGAAACAGAAATGCAGTCTCGTCATATCTCTATTAATTACTCCTAGCTGTTCATGCCAACAACTAATACTATCACTGCAAGAGAACATTCTTCAGTTAACACCCAGTGAGAGGATACGAGACTCTGAACTCTGAATTCTACGCTGTACACTGTACACGGTGCATAGTTTTCGCCGGTGCATATAGTAGTATGGATGAAACAGAAATGCAGTCTCGTCAGGCTAAATTCAGGATCGATGACATGCTTCATCCTGCGATCTGATGGATGGATCGAGCTGCTGCTGAATTATTCAGAGATTTGCTGCGAAAATGAATGTGTGATGGATGATGATGATGATTGGTAGGTGCCGACGAGACGTCGATGAACAGTGATCGATCCGGGGGCCCTAGCGGCGCAATGTGTCGTCCCCATCGGATCGAATGCTCGCAACGACGCAACCACCATGCCCAGCTGCAGGAGGACCCCATGACGGCCAGCCATCGTCCATCTCTGAATGCATAAGCTGGTCGAGTCGATCGAGCTGGCAGCTGAGCTGCATAAAAACGAGGGAGAATCGTCTCTCCAAATATTTTTTTTTCTAAAAAAATTATAAGCGTGTTAAATATTAAACACGTGATCTCAAGGTTAAAACCACACACCCCTTTTCACTGCGCTATCAAATATATCTTGCAACTAAGCTGCATGAACTTACATTACAACTTACAAGGTATCAGTGTAAACAAGCAACTCATGTGGTCTTATGTACTCCCTCTATAAAAGAAGCATAGGATTGGATATAACATATCTTAATATAGTGAATTTGGATGTGCTTTTGTATTCTATTTTGATTTTTTATGGGATGAAAGAAATATATGTGGCAACGGCTGGCATAAGGGCCCACATGTGGAGATGGTTTTCGCTCGAGATGGCATTAAGCCGATCGTAGTTGGAAATTGTTTTTCATATGGCGCTGGTCAGTGGAGAAACTAGAATAAAAATTACCAGAAGTCTCGACATATTAATTATCTAATTATTTAATTACTAAGTAAACTAAACTAG